TTTTTGTGTCTTATCTGAGCTGTTTTGTGTTGATGATGAGGATGAAAAGCCGGCTTTTGTTCTTTCTAGGCTTAGAAATTATTAGCATGCAACCTGTTAAAGTGCTTGAGATTTTTGGTTTAATATGGAATGCTTCATACTGAACTTGAAGATCTAGTCTAGACTCAAGATATTTATATTTTGTGTGGCTTTCAAGGTAGCTACTAGGGTTTAAGGATAGCTACTATGGATTTACTAGGATAGCTACTAGGCAATTTAAGAAGCTACTAAGTATCAACTAAGAAAAGCTTTTAAAATAGCTACCAAGACAGCTATTGAGGCTTGTACTAAGATAGCTATAAAAGTAGCTACCAAGATAACTATTAAAGTAGCTACTGCTCTTCAACTCTATAAATGCGCCTAAAACCTCTTTAATACTCAATAATCATCCCTGCTTGAATTTTAAAGAATCTCTTCCGCATTACTTCATCTCACTTTACTCTAGAAAAACAACAGATTCGTGATAAAAATCTGTTTCAATAAGACTTCGCATTCCATGCTTACTAAAATGTAAATAAAGCATAAAATAAGCGCATAAATTCACTTTCAATGTTATTTATTTATCTGTGCTGCTTTACGCATCGTTTCTATTGTAATTTGTCGCTATGAAACAAAGTTAACCTTCTTCCCTATTATTCTATTTAATTCAATGGGGGATTTTCCAGTCAATCAGTCACAATTTCGATTAGAATTTAAGTTATTAGCATCACAAGTTATCTGAGTAAGTGAAGCAGCTTCGTGGAGGATTGAAGAAATTAATTTAGGATTTTTAAAAATAGGTTCATCAATGTGGAGCTGCTTGATGTTTGATATTTTGCAGATTAATCTAAAGACGGAAAGAAAGGAAATTAAAAATTTCCCCACAATGCTGTTTTCTTCCTTAAGAGTTTCGTCTAGTTCTGCACCTTATGTACACATACAAGAGCTTCCAAAACCTTTGCCGTCACGTACAAATGTGATCATTACAATCAAACAAGATTACATAAAAATGACTGAGCTACAACAGTCAAATATCAGATTCACAATTATTTTCTTAACCTTCAAAGCTCCCCTTTTCTCACGAGAATCCTCAAAATTACACTTAAAACTTCCATAAATTGATTTTACAGCACAAAAAAGTAATTCCATAGAATTTTACTGCATTAGTGTGAAGAAAAAGTTAAAATATTACATCAGCAATGCGATATTTTCAAGATAATTCTGCTTAACAAAGATTTCCTCAATGCCATAAGTAGAGACTGTTGTTTTTCGATATGATTTCTACTTCTTTATGGCTTTTTTCCTTCCCTCCCTCCTGCTTTTCTACACATTCTTGCCATGTTTAACTTTCATGACATATAAAATAAAATTCATATGCTTTCAGCAATTTCATTATGTCATATAACTTGTAGATGTAGTCGAACCGTGACTTTTTTGAGAGTAGTTCAATACTGCAATCTATCAAGGACACCTTCTGACATTACTAACTTCCTTGTACCTTAATAGACTCTATAGACCTCAATAGACCTTACCTTCAACCTTGAAATACCTCCTTGAACCTTAAAATGGTCTCTTGGACCTCAATAGAACCCCTGATTTCTCGATAGACTACTCCTAGATCTTGTTAGACCCTCATTGAACTCCTTATCTCTCTTTTTAAGGATCAGCAGTCGATCTGAATAAAACTAGTTAAGACTAGCTTAAAACCCATACTATGTAAGCTCTATTTTCAGAACATACGGTTCGAAAATGCACAAATATTAAAATAAGGACTGTTAAGACTTGAACTCATGACTGCTGCATCAGTGACACAGTAATAAGCCCTCAAAGTTTGAAACCACTGCGTTATTGAGTCACTTCATCTTAGTTGAGCATTCAAACCTTTAATAACAGAATCTTCTAACCGCAAAGCTCATCAAACAAACGGCTCGAATACCATCCTCAAAATCCAAAACCTCCAACTCCTAGTTCACTTGATAAAAAAAGGCATACACAGAATTTATTTTGCTTCTTGTCTTTTTTTCTTTCTTTACTTTTATTTAATTTCCAAAAGTAGCAGCACTGAAGGCTGTCATGTGAAATTCTCAATGTCATGTGTCATACTATATAAAAAAAACGCCTAGTACAAAATACAACATTAAATCCTTCTTTTTTTGAACATTTTCACTTACGACAAAATAAATATTTTTTCTACATTTCATTCTAATGTTTTGTAAATATGCTGACTTACTCACTTACTTGTGAGTTGTCTTTTTTTTGGATTTTTCAAAAAAATGGAAGGCATTTTACAGTTTAATTTAAAAATAATATACAGGTAAAATGTCAGTAATCGTATCCGCTTTCAACATAAAAGCATCAAAATAAAAAGCTTGACATAAAATTTGTTGAACTTCTTGAATAATTTATTCCATATTAATGAGCACATGTGTGGCGAATAGAAAAACAAATTTATCTTTTGATGCTTCCTGCAAAAGTGGATGTGGGAATGAGGATTTGTTGATGAACATTAGGCTCAAAACATTATCCCAAAGGAGGAGATACTTGCGGAGATAAAAGTGTTGAAATGAATGTGAATTTAGGGATAAAAGCTGCGTCAGCACTCTTGTCTTTATTATATTTAGATTAAACGTGGGAGATTGAGATTCAGGAAGCAGTAATCTTAGGACCACATGGATGTAAGAGTAATGGATTTTTAAAAATGTTGAGTTTTATGGGTTTAAGTGTTGAGAAATCTTGAACATTTGTTAGATATGTTGACAGCTGATCCTGCATTCTAACAGCCTGCTCCTTTTTGAATTCTTGCTCTTTTTTCTTCTGATACAAAATTCTTCAGTAGCTCTGTTGCTCTGTTGCATTGTTGCTTTGTTGCATTGCTGCTCTGTCACAATGTTGCTCTGTCGAATTGTTGCTTTGTAGCGCTGATGCTCTGTCACATTGTTGCTCAGTTTTATTGTTGCTTTGTCACATTAGTGCTTTGTCGCATTGTTGCTTTGTTGCATTGTTGCTCTGTCACATTGTTGCTTTGTAACATTGTTGCTCTGTCGCATTGTTGCTCTATTGCATTGTTGCTCAATTGCATTGTTGCTCTGTTGCTTTGTTGGTCTATTGCATTGTTATTTTTTGCTCTGCAGCCCTGCCTTTGTTGTTTTGTTTTTCTGTTGCATTGTCGCATGATCGTTTGTCGCTCTGACTCTCTGTCACATTATTGTTCTGTTCCTTTCTGTTTTTCAAGACAGATTTAATGATCAAACTTAATGAAAGCTATCAAATGTTACTCTTAATTACGAAGTGATCCCTCCTTGCGACTCTACATCTTAAGCCATCATCATGTCTTCCATCCTGTTTTATTCTAACATGTAGAATAACTTTTTATGCAAACATTTGTGTCAATATAAAGAGCAAATTTTCTTATCTTCTTCTTGCATTTCCCCTCATCATAAAGCATGAAAACTTTTTTTTTCTTTTCATAAATTATTCTAACCAACCTCGTCATTTGTTGTTATTACGCGTACATGAGTTTAATTCTTTTCCTTCTTACCCTCCCAAAAAAAGAAAAAAGAAATGTTGAAAGGCATAAAAAAATTTAACATGTTTTTAAATATCAGCTTTTATATTCGCTTTTAAGCATGAGAATGGAAAGAAAAAGTTTCATGAGACATGCTTGAGAAGAGCAATTTTAACCATCAAATGAAGGTTCTTTTAAATGAGAAGGAAAATGTTTTTTGTATGAAGTTTAATTTTTTAATGGCAAAAGGAAGAAATCTTGACTTGCTAATTGCCCTTCAAATGAAAATATTTATTTTTTTAATATGATGATGAAAGGCTTAAAAGCTCGTCAAAATGTGATTATTTTTTGAAAAATTTTATGAGTCAGTTGCGTGATTGTGAATGGTTGGACTGTCAATTTGATAAGATTTGGATGAATTTTCTTGGGATTTGACATAGAATTGCTAAACTGACTGTGGGTTGCTAATTAAGAGTCAGGGGTTATATTTGAGTCTAGGATCTTGAACTTTTCGAGCACTCAACCCTAGCTACACTCAAACTTTATTAATAGAATATATGTTATGGTTTCTGGGGTAGGTTAACACCGAGTGGACCTGCAATCAGACTTTTAATAAAATGCGAAGGTCGATGTCGAGCATTTGAAGGTGAACTCATCGAATTTTAAGAGTTTGACTTCCTATTCCTGCACTTAATTTTAAAATTGCACAATACATGATGCAACTGACCTCAATACTTCATCGTCAACTCAGAGAATCATCACATTAAACCCTTAAAAATCTTAAATACTTAAACAGACATAAACATTAATTTTCCAAAGTCCATTAAACTACATTCTACTCTATAACAACCTTTACAGTCACATCTAGTTATATATTTCCTCATACATTAGTAAATTCTCAAGATTTATAAGTTCAAATTGCGGTTTAACATATAACAAGAAACAATGAAACAATAAAGATATTTCGTAAATTTAGTAAGAAACAAAGGAAGTTGAGGAAAAACCACAAACATAAATTGTTGTTAAAAATAGTTTTGCATACTTTTATCGTGCACGTGCTCTAAGATTCTTGAGGTTTAACTTTGAGGGGTTTAATATGTTTATTGTGAGAATGAAAAGATGACGTCAATGTATGTCAATTCTATTCTATGAAGATTTTCTGGGTGGCTCTTTGTAGATTGACATGGGTGTGCTTTTGTAGATGACGTAAAATGTGATAGTTTTGTTAACAATGATTGTAAATACTATCTCAAATAGATACAGCAACGATAGGCAAAAATTATACTTTTTTCTAGTACACTCACAATCTAGATTCCTTTAAAAATATAACTCAATATCTTACATAACAAATTTTATCAAGAACACTTCAAAAGCAACCTTCCACACATTTAAAGATTCAAGCCATAAAAGTTTACAATCATACAGTTTCTTTCGTCACATTAATTTTTCTTTTCTTTCAATTTCTTCTCAACTTTAGGACTTCCGTATGATTTGAGTCTCTATTGGCATCAATATCCTTACAATCTAGGACTAACATTTTGTAAAATGAGAGCTTTAATATCAGAAGCGTAAGTATACATTAGTTGATGTTGTTATTAATGCTGTTTAGTGGTTCAGGGAGGTTTATTCAGGATGGGAGAGGGTTCGTGGGGTATAGCTAGGAGGGGTCAAGTGTGGATGTTGTAGTATACATCTAGAATTACCTCATGTATGGTGTATACCTTAGGGGCCGTTCACTTGTGACGTCCGGACTTGCCGCTCATTTTTCAAAAAAAAAAATGAATTTCCAGGAATTTTTACTGTTCTTTCTTGGTGACGGCCCTGACCCCTGAACGTCATAAGTGAACGGCTTCTTAAGTAAAAGATGTGCCATACTCACCAGGTTTATACCCAGCTACCTCTATACATCAAAACTAGGAAAATTTCCATAGTTATGACTAGGGTGACCATCTGCGTAGTTTTACAACGGAAAGTCCTGTATTTCAAAATCCTGTCCTGTATTTTCATAAAAATTAGATGGTCACCCAAGTTATGACCTAATTGAGTAGTGTCATTGTTATAGCCACTCTAAAAATTGACATCCTCTTGAAAAAAATTCCTGACTACACCCCAACCTTTAAGATTGCATCCCCCCAAAAAATGAGCCTCTCATGAGCAATTCAAACGTAGAAAATGAAAATAATCATTATTTTATTTTATTTTTATAGATCAACGTATGTAAGTGTGCTAACGATAGTGGCATTTTCAATGGAGAGATTTCTTGCCATTTGTCATCCACTTCATTTGTACACAATGTCGGGTTTACAGCGTGCTGTTCGAATAATTGCTGCGTTGTGGGTCGTAAGCTTCGTGAGTGCCGTGCCTTTTGCTGTTTTTACAAAAATCCATTACTTACAATATCCAAAGAGTAAGTTTTTTCCGCTCACTTTAATGCCTTCATGCGCTATAAAAGATATCTCATGCCGATTTTTTTTTCAATGATATTCTTTGTTGAATAATAATCATCTTATTACAGCAAATCAAGATATTCCTGATTCAGCATTCTGTGCGATGCTTGACAACCCAGATAAGTTTCCATTATGGGAAATATCAACGTGCATCTTTTTCGCATTCCCCATGGTGATCATGATAATCTTATATGGTCGGATGGGACTTAAAATTCGCTCTAGAACGAGACAGTCGGTGGTATTAGGTGAGTAAGCTCTGCAAACACTTTTATTCTTCTCACTTTTAGTTTTATTTGTTGCCATCAAATGAGCAGAATATGGCACAATAATACTATGAAATGCTATGATTGTTGATGCCGCCGCGATGTTTATTTGCATAATAAAACTTAATTGTTACTGCTTTGTCGTTTCCGCGTGTATTCTTATAAACAAATTGCTTCTTGTATGATTTTTATGATATCGCTTTTGGGGGGAATTTGAAAACTTTGGGGCTTTAATGTACAATAGACATTAGATTGTTGGAGTCACGATTTCCAATTTAAATTCATGTTGTTTGATGCCTCATTTTGGGCTGTCTGAACTTGTTGAAAAGTCAGGGTTTATTGATTTTGTTGTTGATAATGATCTATAAGCATGATTTGGAGTCAATAATGTTGGATTTTTACTCTCATGGTCTTTAAATGGTCAAGTCTGACCATCTCTAGTCAGTTGATTGGACTAGTTGGTTTGATATGTAGATATTAAATCCACTACCTGCTTACAAAATGTCTTATACCACTTGATATAATCACAGGACTCACAAATAGTAGTTAAGCATGAATGTTAATGATATTAAGCCTAATGGAAGCTAGAATCTAGATGGTTCAGTGGCATGAACGCTGGCTGAACAGTCCAAGTGTCCACAAACTACAGGTTCGACTCTTATATTTAATTTCTTTGCCACAAAAACCTTATTAATATATTTTCCAGAAGAATCAAGTCTGACAAACAACTTAATTCCAACCTATCGATCAAACAGATCTTAATGCGCATTAATCACGAGATTACACATCCATAAATCTCTTCAAACTTAACTTTTCATTTCCTCAATGTTTAATTTTACAACGCGCAATTCATTTAAGCTATTATAATAAATTCCCAAAGGATATTTCTTCTAACTCATAACATTTTTTTGTTGTTTTATTCTTATTTCTTATGCCATCCATAGTTTCATTCTTACGTTCATTCCTCCGTTAACGGTTATAAATTTTGAATTTAGGTTATAAATTTGAGAATTGCAGCCATAAATTTCCGTTAAAAAAAGTTTTATATTTATTGTTAAAGCTGTAAATTTTAGAAATCCTCATGCGCTTATCCATCCTTTCGAGTAGCCATTGTGTTCATTTAATTAATCTTCATTGATAATTCAAGATGAGTCTTCTTGGATGAGAACATAAAAAGTCATTAATCGGGGTTCTTAAACAGAAGTTAAATGCTTGTACATGTTAGGATTGGCCTCGCGGCAGCTTTTTCAGAAAGTTTTTTTTGTGTACATCCGCCTTTTAAAAGTTTTCTTTTAATTATAAATGAAATTTTTTATTTTGGGTTCACTGCCGTTGGCACTTGCCAGTGCTTTTACCAAAAAGCCACATCAATCTGCTCAATCTGTCACCGTTACAATCACTTTATAGGAAGGACATTATTTTCTAATAAATTTATTTTTATGTCATTTAGGTGTCACACACTCCAATTCCGTTCATGGTGAATCGAAACAGACGCAGTCGAGGAAAGCTATAATAAGAATGTTGGGTAAGTTTATGACTTCTTCTTTATTAAAAATCATCCATGCGAATTTTTGATTTTAATTCAAATGTGTTCAAAGTTATTTTATGATTTTTTAAAAGAGCTCTAAAAGGGCTGTAGAATGAGAAATGTCTCGTTGTCGGTCTGATTGTCTTTTTGTCCATTGATTTGTAGTTTCATTCTAAGATTTAGGTTATAAGTAGAGCTTGAACCAAAATGTAGTTTAATAACCTTATCAGGGACTTTAAAGCTACCAAAAAAATTCAGCCCCATTCGAAAAATTTCTAGCTACAATCTGGACCTTATCGACAAATTATTCTGAACCACAGGAAGCAATTCTCCTAAAAACTCCCTCAAGACAATGAAAAGTGTCAAAAAAAAACTTTCTGAATTTTTTATGCCTTGCTCCTTGCTTTAAGCGTGGGTCTTTTATGGTAAATTTGTGATGAGAAGTGAGCAGTAGCAGCAGCATGGCACAAATACAACTCAAAATGCCAACTTTTAATTCGGATTTATTGAAAAACTTTCATTGAGACTTAAACACAGTGGATAAAGTTTGAATCTCTCCTCTTCATTTATTTCTCGCCACTTGAAATCCAACCACTCAGCACTCTTGACTGGCGTGCAAGAAAGAATTTCAAATATTTTTGTATTTTTGCGTTGGTCATAAAAATTTAATAGCTTACGTCTTTCTTTCGCCTGTTCACAACATGATATCCAAAGCATGAGAAATTTAATAAATTTTATCGTAAGCCAGAAGCTGTTCACGATTTGACAATAATTTTGATCGTATCCAATTAGAGCGAGGATTTTTTTTTTCTATGTTAGACAAAAGAGATGGGAATGACGGAATTGAGGTTCTTGTATTTATTTTTTGTATGCGCTGTGCTAGAAATAGAATAATTTTTTTTGTAATTCATATTGAGATGATGCGTGAGCATTGTATGTTGAGTTGGAGTTGTCAATTTGACTGCTAATGGTAATTTTAGGTGCCGGCTTCTGAATGGACAACCTGAGACATTCTATTCTAGAATCTAAAGGATGTATTGGTTGGGATGACTCCTTGGAAGCTCAGAAAACTAGCTTCTGCACTCAGTTCGACAATAATTGACTTTGTCTTTATATTAGACTTGTGTAAAGTCATGCATAGCAGTGAAATGGCATCAGTGGCCTTAATAGAAGAGCGTTGGCCTTCCGTGCCAAAGGTCCTGGGTTCAATCCCAGGCCTGTCTGATTTTCTTGTTAAGAAGCTCGGTTTGTGTGTTGGATGTAGTTTTGAGGTCTTTGGCATAGAATATGTCTCCTTTGATAGGTATACAAGGATATACTAGCATCTGGATGACTTCTTTACGGCATCTTACGCACTCGAATTGTGACTAGGTACATTGCAGGGTACATCAGGTCTTATGACGTCCTCGTGTCTTTGCAATGTGCAGAGCTTGCAAGTGGTTCGGATCCCACTATAAACTGTAGGTCTAAAGGGTATAGTACAATAGATTCTTTACAAAATTGAATCGCATACCTCCAGCTGAAAGGCTGGGCCCTTCACACACTACTATACTCATGAATAACTTGACCAAGACAAGGAAGACATAAATAAGAACTTAATTCCAATAAACAACATTTCCTTCCTAGTCCAAAAGCTACTCAAGAGTAAAATAATTCTTAAATAGCAGCAATAAAAATATTTTAAAATTCCAACTCCATAAATCATCCCAAAAACCATTGCGTGCAAGTTAATTAATTTAGTTTTTATGTCCATCCATTAAAATTCCTGGCCTGTCGTCGTCCCATTAAAGAATGCGTTCAAAAATTAATTTCGTCATGACTTGTTGACTTATCTGCTCTCTTTTTATGTCTTAGACAAATTATTCAGTCCATATATAGTCCTAGCTGGTCATATCTCTTTTATATTCGAGATATCATGCGATGACAATTAATTTACGTTTAGTGGACGGCAAAAGACGACGATGTGATGCGAATAATTAACACTCGTACGCTCCTTAATTTTTTCTTTATTTAATGAATTAATAAATTTAATCATTTCTTCCCTTTTTATCTCCAGTGATGATGAATTTTGGTACGAAATAGCCGTAATTTTTTTTTGAATTCATTAAGTTGAGAGAGATTCGCAGAGTAATTACCTCAACCTCTTCTACTTACTGTTCCATAAATTAACATTTGTGAAAGTGAATGTTTCACTGTTAAATAAACAGTTTAGTTTATAGTCTTTCATCTTGTGCGTGCTGCCTTATATTTACTTTTTTTTTGCTGTATTTGAATACAAGACGTAGAGTAATTTACGACTTACTGCAAATTTTTAATTAAGGCAAGAAACAAGTGTTTGAAAAATCGAGGGCAGAAAGGAGAGGAAAGAAGAGCTTGTTTGTGGATGGATGTGATGAAGTTTGTGGATTTGGCGCATTTGTGGGTTTAGGATGAAGACTGAAATGTGCGATTCTGAGGCTTTTAGATTGAATGTAAACCTAAACACATAGTTAAGGACAAATTACTGCAGAATTAAAGGTTCAATTCTCAATTACTAGGTTTTCTTTTAGACATCCAAATCCTAAGCTTCCTTTTAAGTGATCAAGCATGTGAAAAGCTCCAAAGTGATCAGGATTCGCTCTTAGGCTTCCCTACACTACCCAACCATACCCATTGCAATCTCTAGAGTGCACTGGGGAGCCAATTTTTGAGACTTAATAGCAACTAGTTCAACATTGAAAAGTACAAGTCGGTTAATCGATCAGAAATCCGGTACCAAGCCGGTATGACTTTGGTATCGAATTGGATTAAAATCGAAGCCAGCATTATGCCAGATTAATGCCGGTTTGGCACCGGATTTTTATGTAACTGACCGACTTGTGCTATAGGGGAAATGGGCTTAGCTACAATGGAGGAGAGTCACTAATGCTAGGTTAGGTAAAATTTGACAATAATTTATGTAAAACTCAACATAATTGACCAAAACTGATCGCCTGACCCCCAAAATTCATTTTTTCCGAATAATCCTGCTTCAGCTTAAATTTCAGTCTATAAAAAAAAATTCAAAAAATTATTTTGCTAATGATAACAAGCCAAGTAAAAAGCTAAAGATTCTCAAGAACAAACTTTTTCAATAGAAACTTCCTTGCATGTCTTTTCCACACGCTTTAGAAGCGGTTTATTGTTCTTTTCTTTCGAAACAAAAAAAAACGTAGAAAAATTTTCTTGTCTGTTGATTTTTTTTTTCCTGCTCGCTTTTATTTCCGTAATTTCCTATTTTTCTTCTTATTTTGAATAGAAAAAATGCCAAAAAAAAAAGTTTTCTTTTTAGCGAGAAAATTAAAGAATTTACAATAATTGGTTTGGGTTCTGTTGTGCTTGTGTTAAGCTTTCGGATGCTTTAAGTGTAACGAGATGGTTCTTAAAGATGTGAAAATTCTTTGTAATTTTCTTCTGTAGGAAGTTATGATTGAGGCTTATTGGAGTAATAATCATATTTTTGGAAGGGTTTAAAGTCTTTAAATTTGTAGAAAAATTCGATGAAAATCAAAATTTTGTTATGAGGCTAGAGTAGACTTAAAGATAGCTTAATTATTTAAAATAATCAATATAATCAAGCTTTATGCAAGTAAATTTGCCAGTTTAACAATAAGCTTCTCTACAACTCTAGTGGTAAGGCAGTAGACCGTAAAATTTATATTCTATTAATGTTTATCAAGACGTGAGTTCGATTCTCACTAAAATCTGATCTCTGAGTGCTCTCTTGCTTTATGCATTGCTTCAAAAATTCTAAATATTTGGGAATGGATCATAAATCACTTCTAAAAGCAAAAAGAAGATATTTTAGATCTGTGATTATTAATAAGCCGTCCTTAATAGGTTTAAAGAAATACTGCATTAGGCGTCGATTTCAAAACTGAACGAGAGGTTCAAAAAAATCCAATTATTGATTGACGTCATTTATGAACAACCCCTAAAGATCTCTTCCTACAAATTCAACCTTCATTCTTTCATTATTTTCTTTTGTTTACTAAAATCCTTCCATTGTTTACCTTTTTGCGTTGTTTGCATTTTGATCATTAATTAATAATAATCACAGCGTCCTCCAACGGAATTCCGTTGCCAGGTTCTCGCAAACAAACAAATGGATTAAAAATAGAACAAATTGTAATGAATGGCTGTGCCAAATATAGCTACTACTCAAGTTTACAAGCTAATCTAATCGAAATGTTGTTTTATTAGCATTAATTCATTAGATTATTATCGGATTGTTCTTGTTAGAATAATTTTGTTATGATTACGGCTGTTATGGAAATTTTGAATTGGATTTTAGTTCCTGTTGCTAATGAGAATTGGTAATGTTTGGGTTAGGGATGACATTTTTGGATCATTAAACTTGTGGACTTAAGTGGTGGTTCATTTGTATGAAATATTGAGTATTGATAATGTTGGATTATAGCTTTACATCCACAAAACAATAAAGCTTCTTAATTAGAACCAGAGCTCGAAATCGACTCGACTCCATACAAAATTTCATTCCTTCAAATCGACTCAATCATCTTCTATCCCAATAAATCATCAATTCAGTCAACAAAAGACATCCTTAATTACCTTAAAAATTCCACAATTTTTGACATAATTTTCCTCAACAATTAACAAATCACCTAATAAATCTTAAAAGCATAAAGCCATGATGATGAAAAGTGATTAATTGGATTCATTGTGTAAACACAAGTATTTCGTGATGTTGTGTACTTAAATTCCACTGATGACATCCAATTTGATTTAATGCTTCCAGTTTGTCTAGCTTTTTCTTGATTATGTAGTTTTTTACCTGAATTTATTGGGAAGAAATGCATTTTGAAGTACATATCTGTTTTGATGAATTTTGATCTTATTAATAACAGGAACAATGAAGGTATTTAAGACCTAAATGAAGTTTGATTTTGATGCTTAGCTGAGGATGTAACAAACGTGAATATGATTATGGTGGAGTAAAAAGTCCTTTAATTGAAGGTTGTCCAACTGAGCATTTTTTGGAGGGTAAATCTTGCTTTTTTCAAGAAAACTTGAAAGCCCCGCTTTTTAGCGCATTTTTGTATACTTGTATACAAAAAGGGAGCTTAATAATGCGAAATGTTCGTTCGTTCGGTTGCTCGTTCGTCTGAAAAAAACTTTTTAACCAGACATCGTAGAGAGCTCAGGTTTGTTTTATTAGCTCCGTTACTATTGTTCATTGTCCGATCGAACAGTTAAAAGTCTTGAAACAGTGTATTTATGCTATAATTAATGATTTTTTTATTTCATAAACCAAACCACGTGATGAGTACGTTTAAAAAATTCAACATTACCTCTATAATTTCAAATTTTTTCTAGCCGTTGTAAAATTTGAATTTCAAAAAATCGTTAAATGATAAACTTTTTTTGTATGGAAATTCATTGCAAATTATTTATTGACCGTTAAATAATAAAGCTTATCTATAAAAGCACTCATTATAATTATTTATTAATTACACTCAAATGAATAATCTTCTAAACTTCTAATGATTTGTAAACGAACGCAAAATAATTAGATAATCAAATACTGATCGCTGCGTCAAAAATGCGCTAAAGTCACTCGATCAATAACACGAGGACTTTTGTAATTTTTTAATCTATTTTATTTGGAAAATGCTTGAAAATTTGGTCTGCCTTGCTTGTTCAGAGCTGCAATCTTGTTTCGCTTTTTGACCAAAAATCAGCAAAAACCGATAGCCAGCTGGAAGGGGGGGGGGGGGGGGAGGGTCAGCAAGAAAAGAACAATAGACCGTTAATTTTGGACGTCATAATTGAGTATTTTCTCTAAGTATTTTGAGTCGGTCTTGATTGGTAAGATCTGGATTCTTAGAATCAATTTGAAAGGGTATTAATTAGAGAAGAATTGTTGATTCAGGCACCTTGATGTGGCAAAACATCAAGTGGTTAAGAAATTTAATGAATTCTTCAAAGCATTTTTTCTCGCAACCTTAGCCACTTTTGAAGCCACAGAAAGAAGAAATTCTTCCACGCTCGTTTAGTCAAAATTCTTAATAATTACCATATTTCTCATTTTTACACTCCATGTCGAGTTGGTGCCTTTATCATTTATGATACTAATTATCTCATGCGTTCTCACCGCACTTTTCCCCGTCGTCACCCGAAATAAAAAAATATGAAAAAGTTTGTCAATAATCATCACCTTTTTTGCTTTCTTATTTCAGCCGCTGTAGTCATCACATTCTTTGTATGTTGGGCGCCTTTTCATGCTCAGGTACGGTAACCTTTTGTGACATAATAAAAGTTTTGATGAATAAAATATGATTGTTATTATTTACAGAGATTACTTTACCTTTACGGCAAAAACATTGAATCATTTCAAATGCTCAACCAATGGCTATTTCCAATGAGTGGGTGGCTTTATTACGTATCATGGTAAGTTTATTGCTATAATTAAGATAACTTTTTAATTCAATTTTTGGATTTCTCACCTCGTTAACGACTTAATCATCATTCATGAGATTCAGGAAAGGTTGTAAATATTTATTTGGCAACAACCGACCGGATTCTCATCTGACATTAACATTCTCATCTGCATTTCACAATAAAAGCTTGATATGTATAAATGTGGAGCCTTTTATGGCATGTTTTGCGACAATTTAATTTAGTATGATAACAGCACACCGAGAAAAAGTCAATAAATTTTAACTCCCATAAAACTATTTTATTTGTGGCATGAGAGCGACTACACAATTCCATGTGCTAATAATTTGAAATTGTTTTTGCTTTTTTGTTTAACATTTTGGGGATGTGTGTTTTATGGGTTCAGTGGGTAGGGGCTGTAATGATAAATGTCTATTTTTGGGTGATTTTTAAATTGATCTGTCACGTAAGAACAAGGGTTGGACACTTTGAGAAAAATTACCATTAGTTCAGTTAGTCCAGTGGTGCTCAAATTGCATTTCTAGTTCAGAAATGGGTGGTTGATTGATTTTTCGTTGCTCAAGTTGTAAAGTTTCTAATGGGATAATTAAAGCAGGAGTACTGAAACCTTGTGATGAGACACGCTAGACGCCATTTTGTAGATTTAGTGACCAGCTTTAAAAGATGAAGTCTATAATATGTATAAATTTGCATGAATGAGACCCTCACCCTGGATCCGCACGTACCTCTCAGCATTTATGTGAAGACATTTGGGGGGGCGTTCAATTATTACGTAACGCTTTTAGGAAAATCTAGATCATTTGGCAGAAACCATGGATTTCCATAGATTTTTATGGAATTCCAATGAAATTCATGAACCTTTCAGTTTTAATTATTATTTCATACAGTGTATGGAAATTCATGTATTTTATAGGTTTTCTATGATCTATGGATACTTTGTCCAAGTCGATGGAGGTCCATAGAAATTTATAGAAATCCATGGTTTCTGCCAGATGATCTACACCCCTTTAAAGGAGAGGGAGGTCTAAGATTTGGAATTACGGTTCAAATAAAATACGTAATAAGTGAACGGCCCTTGCATATTTATGGACATTTTTGAAGGATAGTGAGGGGGCTTGCTTTTAGTATGGACAGTTACGAACAACTTTACATCCCAGCACGTTCCTTTTTGTAGGTCAAATTTCAGCAATAACAAATGATCTCATCATTCACTCACCCCAAAAAGTTTTATTCCAAGCCATTTTCTTCTTCCTTTATGTCGCCTGTAATAGCTCAATAGAAATAAAATAATGGAATAAAAACAAAAACAGAACCTAGAAGCAGAATTTCTATTTACCGAGTGCTTTTTTATGTCTTGGCTAATCAAAAATGTTTAAGTCGCGCATTTATTTATTTATACAAGATGTGACATATAAGAAATAATGGCAATACACTAAGCAGCAATGCCTTATAAATGAAATATTCATCTGTTTTACGTTCGTGATGATGACGAAGAAAAAAAAACTGAGTTTTGTGTTTGTCAATTATGACAAAAATAAAAAGAAGAATTGCAATAATTATTGCAATATCGCGTGATGAACTTCCTCTTCATCAAGTCACTTCTGTTCTGTTGATTTGAATAATTTGCGGAATGTCATGATTCCATGTCATAATTAAAGCGCAAGAATGACAAAAACATTGAGATTATAGCGAAAGTGGATTTGTATCTTGGTGCTTATAAATGTCAAGTTCAACATTTTGTATGAGATTTGGTATCTGATAGGAAAAACTTATTAGTCATGGTTGAAAGACATTAAATGTTTTTAGTTTAAATGAGGGAAAATAAGAAAAGTTGGCAGACGCGTGTTGATAAGTTTGTGACTCATGCGATTGTAGCTTTTGATTTAGATTAGTTCATGCTAAGTTGAGCACTTTTTACTCAAGTCAAGTTTAACAATTTTCATCAAATCAAGTTAATTGCCTTTCCCCAAGTCAAGTTAAACCCCTTTTACTCAATTCAAGTTGAGCACTTTTTCCTCAAGTCAAGTTGAACAATTTTCATCAAATCAAGTTGATTGCCTTTCCCGAAGTCAAGTTAAACCCCTTTTACTCAATTCAAGTTGAGCACTTTTTCCTCAAGTCAAGTTGAATAGATATCAATCAAATCAAGTTGATTGCCTTTCCCGAAGTCAAGTTAAACCCCTTTTACTCAATTCAAGTTGAGCACTTTTTCCTCAAGTCAAGTTGAATAGATATCAACCAAATCAAGTTGAGTTAAATTGAATCAAGTAAAGTGTTGATAAATGTAATAATTTTTGAGTTAAATTCTAGCAAACCAAGTTGAGTATAGTATATAATCAAGTCAACTTGAGTAAGGCTCGATAAAGTCAACTTGAGGAGGGCTCGATAAAGTCAACTTGAGGAGGGCTCGATAAAGTCAACTTAATTAAGGCTCGATAAAGTCAAGCAAACCAAGTTGAGTATAGTATTTAATCAAGTCAACTTGAGTAAGGCTCGATAAAGTCAACTTGAGTAAGTCTCATCCAAGCAAAATCCCATAAAATCCATCAAGTTTTATATTAAATGACAACCCAAAAACGGTCCCATACAGCATTTTTAATAATAATAATAATAATAATAATAATAATAATAATAATAATAATAATTTTTCAATTAAAAACTCTAAAATAATGCATACCAAGACAGTTATTTATGTTATGAATATTAAAATATTTTTTCAATCCCCAATGAAGCCTGAAAAAGGATCAAAAATATAAATCCTCAGCAATGTAACTAAAAAGAAAGCATTATCCGATGAGAAAATTCGTAAATTGTGCAGAAATTCTTCTTGATTATCATAAAAATAAATTTTCAAAGAATATTTCCCATCCGGTTGTGAAAAATCTGTAATATTTAACATGCTAAGGAATGTTTCAGTTCCGCAATTTTAAATTCAAAGTTCTTAAGAAACAACATTCATTAAAAGGAGTATTTAAGGATATCGAAATGTAAAGAAAGGCAGAGAATGAACTGTTGATTATGTGCATAACAACTCTTTAGCAATAAGCACAAAAATAGCATCAAAATACACAAATAAAAGAGATTACAGAACAGCCAAAAAAAGGGTTCGAAGTCAATTGAAAGCTTTTATGTTTGCCTTGATTATTGCTGTACAGATCTCACTGTATAATCTGTGAATTGTGAATGGGAAAAATCAAACGAAATGTACTTGTTTAGGTACGGCAAACTGTACAAAGTATAAGCAAATAGCATTTCTTTGTTGTGTGTGAGAAAAATTTAAAAATCATGTAAAGTGTGAAAAGCACACAAAAGATGAGAGAAAAAAAACGAAGCATTACTAGACATTTCTATTGTGATTGCGTTTCTATTTGCTTACATTATACTTTACCTCCTTCAATATTCGAGTGTTGATAAGATTGAGGGAAAATGTTCGAAAATTTGAGGGTCTTCTTGATGTTCTTTAAAGGCATCCTATTAAGAATAAGCATGCATTGCTTTTAGGTTGTTGGAAAGCTAGTCTTAATCGGAAACTGTTTGCTAGGAGTTCCCAGTCTGATTATATTGTCAGTCTAGTGCTTGGTTGTGATTAGGCATACGCTTTATCGTAGCTTAGAGCTGAACTAGCTCGGTGGAGGAATGGTTTAGTACTTCGGTACCTAATCTTTCCATTACCGACACAGCGATCATGGGTTCGAGACTGGGTATGAGAAATTTTTCACTTGTCCTTTTTCGAATCATATGTACTGGAAATGCGGCTCACAGCCTTTCTTTGTAGGCTACAGGCAGAAATGTCATCAAAGGAGTGGTTTGGATCACACTATGAACTGTAGGTCTAGGTTTGAGTGCATTCTCACTCGTTACATTCTTTAAAAGTCTCAGACCATCAATCGATCCCCTTAACAATCACATCCCTTATACCATCATCTCATTTCTTTGAATATAAAGGAAACTGTGAATATTTTAAGCTCTTACAGAAGTTCCATCTTCTTTCCTTTATGTCTACATATTCATTCTCAATTTCTCCCCTATCCTTGCTTCTCCCCTATGAAATATGTAAGCCGCAATGGATCTTCTTTTTTCTTCCATTTCATGTTTTCCCTCTTTTTAGTGTTATTGAATAGTAAGAAGATAAAAAAAGAAGCAAATAAGGAATAAATGAATTAGGGGAGGTAAAGGAATTGAGATGTACAGAGATGTAAATAAAAGAAAAATTTATCTTGTTATGCTGTACATGGTGATGTGGGAAGATGAAAAATAAGGACATAAATATCCATGTTATGGTTACTAGTATAGATGGTTGTGGCTTTATTTGGAGAGTATTTAAGGATAAAAAGGTTGGGAGTATAGCAAAATCTGACTTTATTCAGTTATGCCCTGTAAAAATTCTTCAAACTCAAAAATATCAATACCTGAAAAATCACATCACAAAATGTCGCCTAGGCCACACCATGAAGTAGACAAAACACATAGTAGAAATCCATTTTTACATCCCTTAATATGTTTATGTAATACATTGTTTTTCACCCATTTCATCTCTCTCGTTCTGCCATTTCAGCACAATAAATCCAATTCTTTACAATGTAATGTCACATCGATATCGGATAGCATTTAGGGAGACTCTTTGTAGTCGAAAGCGTGGATTCTATAGTAGCTCAAATGGCTTTGCCAGAGATCAATCGAGTTTTAGAGAAACGACAATAGCAGCAACCGGGAGAGATCATAATCTCAATTATGAGGGTTCACAGTTGGTAAGTCTGTTGATTGACTTTTGATGCTCATTTAATAATTTTTCTCTCACCTTATTTTGTGTTCCTTAAACAGCTTCGAACGAAATCGACGTTATCGCATCGATGTTCACGTTATAGGGATAATGGAAGACTGAATAGTAGTATTCGATGGAAGGAGAACAACGCAAAGCGTGTGGATTCAGTTAAAGTAAGTATTTTTAAGATTATACAGCAGATAGAGTCAGGGGTGTGGGCAGGAGTGGGTATATTGGGGAGATGAGTGATCGTTATAAGTCCATATCAAGAAATCAGTCTCAAGAAGGTTTTCTGGAGTAAGCATTTAAATCTGAAAGATCCCGAAAAAAACTTCTGACTGCACCCCTGACAAAACACGAGCAAAAAATAAGTAAGAAGAAGTGGAAGACGTAATGAATAATTTATTTTTAGTTCTTCTTCTTATTCCTTAAATTTTTTATTTGCTGATAGCTTAAAAGAACTTTCGCACCTTGTATTATCCAACCTTTATACCTCAACAACACCATTATCCATTTCCTTACTTCTTGTTTCCACTTTTGTGTTTGTGCCGAGACTCGATCATCATTTTCGCCACGTAGCTTTTATCTTCGAAACCATCATGATTATGGAGCTTTCACTAAACAGGAGCTGAGCTGCTAACTGAGTGAAAATTAAATAGAATTTAAAGATTTCTTGGAAACTAAAATTAAATTTTGGATTTTGTTTGCTTTTTGTTGCGTGATCTGAGGCTACGGGCTTTAGTTGTTGATGTGGGTGTTTGTTTGGACGCACCAGTGAACTAGAAATGTCTCAAAAATGACAATACTTTGAATATATTACGAAGATGATAACCAAATGAATTACGAAAACTATTAAAAACACACTCATACTGGCCCACCCAGACAGTTTCTCATAATTCTTCCGAGATTCCTATAAAACGTGCATTTAAATGCTCCATAAACACACGAACAGCTCATCAAATTTTCAATGGAAATTTTATTCTCAGAAAAAAATTTAAAAAAAATTCTTAATCGCCTCTTAAACCATAAAAAATTCCAACCCATGAAAATTTAAGGCTCATCATTTATGTGGAAATGTTTAATTTACTTTATATCGTCTGATTTTACACGAAAGCAAACTCCTGCCTCATTTTTATTTTTTTTCGTAACTCAGTAAAGTAAAGATGAGATTTTCATGAGTGCTAATGACCTCATTTTCGTGCTTTAAAAACATTTTCTTTTCTTATAACCACTTCTTACTTCTATGATCCTTAATTATCCTATTAACCTTGCGGTATATAATTTAATTTTTTTTTTCTTCCAATGCATAATAAATTATGTTGTGGAAGGGGAAGTCTTTTCAATTAAGAGGCTTTTAGGTTTATTTACCTTTATCATTAATTAATTACATTGAGTGTTTCTAAGTAATTCCAATGAAGAATATCCGAAGTAAAGCACGGTAAGACACGAAATTCAGGGTATGGAATGTTAACAGATATGGATGGAAGCTTTTGGGTCGAGCTTTAGAGATTTAGAGTGAAGCAATGAGCTTCTGGGTCGAGCTGTGAACTTTCGGTGGTGCTATTAGCTTTTTTGATCAATTTGCGAGCTTTTAAGTCGAGCAGTGAGCTTTTGGATCGAGCATCGAACTTTTGGGTATAGCTGTGAGCTTTTTGGTCGAGCTGTGAGCTTTTCGAGCAAATTGTAAGCTTTTCGATCAAGCTGTGAGCTTTTTGGACGAGTTATGAGATTTTCGGTCGAGTTGTGAGCTTTTTGGTTTAGCTGTGAGCTTTTCGGTCGAACTGTGAGCTTTTTGGTATAGCTGTGAGCTTTCGGACGAGCAGTGAACTTTTTAATTGAGTTTGTAAGCTTTTTGGACGAGCTGTGAGCTTATGGGTCAACCAATACAAATACCTAACCTCAATATCCCATCACAATGCCCAAACCATGAGCAAAATCACTTTATTAATAAACTTTTATCCATCTTTTTCTTTTTCACAAAATCCAACAGAGCACAGACAGTACGCAATCAACGCAATCAACAAACGGCAGCTCAAATGTAATTGTAGTTTGTATTGGAAATAGCTTTAAGACAAAATGCTTCACAACAGCCAATACGTCGCAATCGACGACCACGCTAACCACAACAACATCTCCATCTTCGCCATCTCCAACGTCAAACATAAATTTATTGTCGTCAATGACATCATCAGTTAATCACTGTAATAATGGTAACAATAAGCTAAACCACAGTCCTGTGTCGAGGACGCCATCATTACGAATGGACTCACAGATGAATAATTTACTAGAAGAGGACGAAGAGAGTTGCTTCGAAATTGAGAATAATAAAATCAATAATAATGGAGAGAATGAGAAGTTATATGTGAATGGTAATGGTAATCATCCATCATCAGGAAATGATCTGTTCTGTTGCGGCAATGAACAAGCACGTAATGAATTTAATAAAAATAGCTTCAATAGCAATCATTTGGTTACCAAAAAGCACGAACAACCGCAAAATTTATTAATTAATTGCTTGAGTGACTTAAAAACAGAGACATGTATATAATAACAATTAATTGTCAAATGTGTTAATATTGCTGTATTATAAGCCTTATCAGTACGTTTTGTAAAATGTGAGAACAAATATAACTTTTTTTTTTTGAGTGACATGAGAATTGCTATTTTGTGGGTTTGACTCCAGCGATGTGGTTGACATTATGATTCCGATATGTCAAATGGTTTTCATTGTGTGAATAATTTTGACATACATTTTTTTTAACTGGCATTTAACAGTGTCTGGTTGAGCGATTGTTATGAGTTGAGACACTTTTTGACTTTGGCTGGATGGCTGCAAATGAATGTGTGCGGAATTGATATGATTAGAATTATTTATACAAGTAAGATGGGAGTGGAGAGAGCTCGGTTACCTGCAGATTCTGATTTGATTCGGTTTTAACACAGTGTTGTACAAACTGTGTGCCGCGGCATGGTGGTAGAGAAAATTTTTTTCGGAAATGACGCAAGCTGCGTGCTTTATTCGACTTTGGTCATCGCTTACCTCTAAAGTGTGCCGTGGCTCAAAAGTTTAGACAACGAGGGCTAATAAAAATAAAGATTTTATTCTTGATGGACGAAGAGGTCTGAGATGAATGACTATATTTAGTAGTTCCTCCGAACCAGACATTTCTTCAAGTTGCTTAAATTATTTTGAAAATTTTAGAAAATATATAGCACCCTTCCCCCCCCCCCCCCCCCTTCTCTATTTTTCCTCTCAAAACATATCTGGTCAAGCCGCTGATGTATGAAATGTACTCAGAAAAACACTCAAAAATACTTCCCATCCAAAAAATATACAATTGCTATTTTAATGCCCCAACAAAAGCGGATTTAATGTATCAAAAAAAAATTAAATGCTGCTAATCGACTTACTAAGGATTCCATTGATACATTCAAATTTGTTCAAGAATACAACAATAACTCGCTGTTAAGCAGCTTGTATGAAGTTTATTGAAGCAATAAAAGAGAACATTTACTTATACTTGAATTAATATTGTTGTATAAATATTTGTGAATATCATCATAACAATTCTCACTCATCATTACACACAGTAGCTTATGTGGATTGAAGATCAAACTGATATAAAAAAAACATCATCTGATGATGAATGATGAGATGCTTAAGCAAAAATGATAAATCTTAATTGATGCTATTCAAATCTCAAACTCAGCACTAAATATGACATCCATTGTAAGTGAAATTGATTACGTGCCCATTATAATACATGATAATAGCTACCGATTTGTGATTTAATATCGATTTAATGTGACAATCTTTATTGTGGGACTCATAAATTTTGTTATGTATGTTGCTGTAATCTGTGCTGTAAAAAGAAAAAGTCATCGTCATTCCGAAGGATGTTCAAATTAATTTCTAGAACTATATTTCTATTGTAATCATCCGCACAAATCGACATAAATAATAATGAAGACAGTGATAAAAAGAAATGAGTTTCTATGTCTGCTCATTTTTGGGTTTTTTGGCATTGAAAGACATTTTTCGGCAAGTTAATGGTATATAAAATTTGAATTTTTGGAATCTGGACTCTATTTGATCTGAACCTGTTGTTAGTCATCAGACCAGGAGCTTAGCCAGGAGGGGGATTTGGGGGACAAATCCCCCAACCTAAACAGAAATTTCTTTATTTTGCTAGGGTTTTTATGAAAATATCACAAAAATCACCCCCCCCCCCTCCCACCACCCAAAATTTTTCCATACAAAAATTTTTCGATACAAAAATTTTTTGCCCCCCCCCCTCCCCTTTTCAAATTCCTGGCTACGCTGGCTTAGTGCTAGATTTCCTCTCATTGAGTAGCAAACTGCCCGGGAAAGCACAAGTCGGTTAGTCGAATAGAAAGTTGGTGTGACTCTTGCATGGTGCTAGATTTAAATCAAATTGATTAACCGACTTGTGTGGGAGTTTGGGGGTGAACTAGAATTTTTTGGAGAACTAACCTTGAAAAATCAACAGCAAAAGAACCTTAGGTACCCTAGACACCTTAGTCATGAATTTTTCTCAAACAGAAATCAAAAAATTTTGACAGAAAACTCAATATTCCTCCATACCCCCAAATTTTTCCCATGACAGGCACCAACATCAGTCCTCAAGCTACGATGCACCATACATTTTATTTTCAGCACAAGGACAAGAGAAAAATTTCAATGTCAACCACACAAAACAGCATTAATGGTCACAATGATAAAAGGTTCTAATGGGAATATAACTTATTCAGTTACCGTTCAATTCACTGATTTATTGGCTACTTAGTAAATCCACTCACACAAAAAAATAATGAAATTGTCTCTCACATTTTCAATTTTCATCTCCTAAATTTTGTAAGCATAAAAAAAAGAATGAATTTCATCGTATCACATTGTAAATATTTAATTAAAGAGAACATTAGTCACATTGTACAATGAACTCGAGCTGTAATCGAGCATAGAATGAAAGTAAAAATTCTATATTAATTCGAGAGGGTAAAAGCACTAAAAAAGAATTTTTTAAAAATACTAAATGTAATTTTCATCCTGAAACACATACATACAGTATTTTGTACATAGAATTTATAGTGTTAGAGATTGTCAATCTCGAATCTAGAACAAAGAAAAAATAAGGTTATGTAAATACGTAGGAAATATTTTGTAAATTATTACTGTTAAAATTTATTCTGTGGCACATTTTGCCGTCTTTTCTTGTCTTTATTTCCTATTTCTTGTCTATAAATTTCCTCCTATACTATAATATAAATAAACTTTAAGATGTGTATGGAATAATGGCATGAATGTGCGCTTGTTTGTATGGCTGGCTGTTGACTGGATGTTTGCAATAATAAAACATAACGAACTGTTTGTAAATAATTAAACTTTCATTCTTGAATCATTGGGATCTATTAGGTGTTGTGCATTTTTTCAAATTTTTTATTCTGTCTTCTTGGATGGTTGGGATGAGTTTTTGGAAAGGGGTTCTTGTTTTTGAAGGGGAATGATGAAACATTTTATAGAGCGTATTCAGATTTTTTCACAAGTTTCCATAGCCAACCTCCCCCTCTTATCCCTAATAAGCTCATAAGTCTTGGGTTATTTTTTAAACCAATGTGAGTATCACCAGTGAGATTAAATTCTGGCAAGAAGGTTCATTAGACCTTCATTTCTACTAGAAACCTGAAAGCAACACCAGGCCGGCAGGACTCTAGCATGGTGCTTGGTTTGATTTAAATCTAGCACCATGTCGATAAATCAACTTATGCCATTCCAGACAGTCTGTCAAGAACGTCCGGTATGATCGAGACCTCCATATCTACTTAAAACCTGAGAGCAATACCCTTTACCCGAAAAATCCAAAAAAACCAAATTTAAAGTCAAGTCTCCCTCTTGCCCCCCTCAATAACAAGAACAAAACAGCTTCCAACAAAAACTCATCCCAAAAAGTTAATTCATCTATTTTCTCTCCTTTTCCTCCTCAAAACGACCAAAGCATGAGTATCAGAACGAAACGAAGAATAGCCATTAAGTGTCTGGTCAACGTCAGAGCTTTGTGTATTAAAAATTATGGTCGAGCAGACGTGATGAGAATACTTAAAATGTATAAAAATAAATTTTGCTGATGATACGACCGAAAAAAAAGGCGCGAGAGTGCTAAAAGATGAGTACAAAGCATGACATGAGTACAATAAACTATAAAAATGAGATATGTACATAGCGAAAAAGGAAAGCAAGAGAAATAAAGTGAAAATTTATTTTTACTGTACATTTAAAACAAATATACGGAAAATGTAGCGGAAATGAAAGAGAAAAAATATTAAAGTATCAAGTGATTAATGAGGCACGGGAGCTCTATTCCTGCTACATCGTTAAGAAAGACGATATTTAATCCTTTTTAATCCTTCTTGTCCTATTTAGATTATATTTTGTACTATCTTCTGTTATTTAATATCCTTAATAGATTTTATTTATAGGAAGATGATGAGGAATAAGATTGGTTGGGAAAAGGCTTATAGATTTCATGAATTGTTCTTGGAAACGTGGCTGATTCAATAGAATAATGAAAAATTAAGCAGAACAAGATTTGATGAACGGTTTCTTAAAATATCTGACTTTAATCATTACGAGATCCTCTTGCATCATTCCAGCCAATCTTTTAAAGCTTTTATTTACAACACTAAGTCAAAAAGTCACAGCTCAAGTGTGAAAACCATTTGAAGCTTCAAATGTTTCCCTGAAACTACCCCAAGCCATCACGTTCAATTTAACTCATCCATTAAAAATTCATAGAATATTTTTGTACACACACAGCATTAAAGTTCGATTGCATTCCTATAACATGTCTATATCACATTTCGTACCTCTTTCCTGTTCCTCCTCCTTAACTTCCTTTCCTCCTCTACAAACCCAACTCCTCTATACCTATTAAAAGGATTAGCTTTGCATTCACAAACATTAAAAAAGAAATCCATTAAAAAATATGGGAAAAGATGAACGCTTTAATGTTTTTCAATTTTTCATGTCGCTTCCAATTTTTTTCTAATAAAAAAAACAAAGTTTCTAAGAAAAAAAAGTATGAAAATTATGATGAAGATGGAAATGCGTTTGGCGATAAAAAAATAAAATTGGCTCACGCGGAACGCATTTCCATAATGGAAAGATGATAAGGAAAAAAAAGCAGCAAAAATGATATTTCCATTTTCTTCTATTTTTAATCTGATGATATTTTGTACTTTGTAAATGAAATGAGTTTTTGGGGAAATTTATTTCCTTTGATTTGAATTTTTTGGAGGGTTTTGAGGTTAGTTTGGATGATTTTGGATAGAAATTTACTTAAAATTAAGTAGAATTTGAACCAAATTTGTGCAAAAATTTAAAAATAGTTTTTTTAAAACTTCAGAAAAGTCTCGTAAGCTAAACAAACTCAAATAAGTTAAAAAGGAATTAAATTCAAATTAAAAAGTCAAAAAATGCCCAAAAGACCCCCCAAAATATTTAAAATAAACGCCCAAAAAAATTTAAAATAA